ACTGAACTCACGACCTTGCGCTTGCCAGGCAGACGCTTTGCCGCTGAGCTAAATCCCCAGCCCCTAGGTCTGAGTTTTTGTTGATACAGTTTTTCTTCTGCCAAGGTTTCCTTCAACATTTCTGGCAGTTTAGGTCAGCTAGTTTTGAATTTTTCTTTTTTTTTTTCTGTGCCTGAAAAAACCTTTCTTTTTCCTTAATTTTTGAAAGGTATTTTCCTGAATGCAGACTTCTTTATATTTTGTCAGTACTGACTTTTGGCTTGAAGTGTTCTTTATTAGAAATGTGATTTTCTTTGTTCCTTTGTATGTAACATGACTTTATTTTCTTACCTGTTAAGACTCTTTTGGTTACCATTAACATGGTAAATTTCTAGAAAGGTGCTTTATGGGGGATGTATGACACCTACATTTATTTTTTAGGAGTATTTCTATTAATGAATTACTAATTTTAATTGTATGAGTTTTATTATATTAAACAATGTATACTTAACATGAAAATATCAGTACAGTAAAATACTACATTTTTAATATGTAGTGTGTAGAATAAACATCAACATTTTCAACATCCACAGTTTATCTGCTTGCGAGATCTAAAAAATAACAGCAGAAATAAATTCCTGTGTGAATTATAATGAAATTACAAAGAAAACTTTGCCACAGAAATAATCTTTGCTTCAATTATCACACCTAAAGCAGTCTTCACACATGACAGCACCATGTTCCACGCATAAGTGTTGCTTACAATGACAACACGTGTGCTTAGCATTTCTTTCCCCATTGGCAGGCAGTACTTAAACCTCTCTGGTCTTCCTCTTTTGTTAGGAGTTTTCTGTTACACACTGCACTTACCAAAAGAAACATAATGAGTGTTTAGAATAAATAACATTTTGTACATCAACTGTTTTGCTTACTAAATCTAAAAAATAACATTTTTATTTGAACTACAATGACTACAAATACAAGTGAACTACGAAAATAACCTTTACTTCAGTTATCACACCTAAGGCAGTTTTCACCAGAGAACAGTGTGTTCCATACACAAGACTCGTTTATACTGACAGCGTATGTGTTTTGTTTTCTGTCTTCTTTGATAGCCCATACTTGACATCTTGCTGGTCTTCTGTTTTCTCGAGAGGTTCTTGTGATGTTCACCTGTCTGTTCACCAGCCTGCCCCAGAGTTCTTTTGCTAATTTCTTTGGGCAGATACATATTGTTCTTCCTCTGTTATAATTGCTTCTTTATCAGTTCCAGTCCGGATCCTCTTAAGAAAACTTGTCCATGATGTTTTGTGCTTGTTATGTTCTTTGTAAACTATGACACTGTTTGTGCCTGACATGTTTAGGATTGAGTAAAGCACAACCATTGGCCGACACTGTGTTTCAAGTGATGTCATAGTTACTGCATAATTTGTCAACAGCATCTACTCCACCTTTCATTTTGTTGGAGATTGTGACCATTTCTGGCATCATTGGTGTTGAAGATTCATTATTGATCTTTTTTTGTAGTTTGGTTTTGAGACAGTGTCTCACTGAGTAGTCCAGCCTTGAAAGCACTCTGTAGCACTGGCTGACCTATGACCTTCAACCCACAGGATCCCCCACCCCCATTACAGGTGTGCACCATCATGCCCAGCTTCACTGCTCATCTTATCATCATGATGTAACTTTGACAGTATCAATATTACTTTGTTTTTCTTTAGCATAATGTAGTAGAGGCTAGTTTGGAACTCTGTGTAGCCAGATTGACTTTGAACTCACAGGATCCTCGTGCTGCAGCCTCCTGAGTGCTGGAATTATAGATGTGCACCACCTCACCCAGTTTAACTGTACTTCTCAACATGGTGTAATGTTGACAGTATCAGTACTTTGTTTTTCTTTGCCATGTAAGAGGCCAGTCCGAAGATTGTACTATACATTTCTCTATTGTGCACTTGGAACCTTTCTTCAGGAATCTCCACTTTGTTCTTACAAATAGTTCCTGTGTTGGTCAACTTTTTTTTGTTTTTTTTTCAGCAGTATAACATCTATAGGTCAAATGTGACATTGGGGTTATTTTTGAAATAGGTGCAAGAAGTCTGTTTGCAAAGTCACATGTTATATTACCGCACAAATAAGGGCCTGGTGCCTGAGTTCCAGGATGAATTTCTGAATTACAGGTGTAGAATGTCTTCACGTCTACCAGGGCATATGTTGGAAGGTGTATTTGGCATATATGGCCAAAACTTTCAATGACCATGAACTGATGCAAGTTGTTTGTGAATTGCGCTGTATTCAGACAGTGTATAAATTGCTTGACAGTTCAAAACAAAGCCTTCAAAAACTGAGCGAATAGAAGCCAAATTGTCAGATTTTTCCTTTTTTACTAGAGGGTCTCTTTGTTGCTGAAACTAGGCAGTTTTGAAAGAAACCAAATCTCTTGACTGTCATTGTTCTAAATATCTCAATGCCCCATCTGTCACTTTCTCATAAATTCTTTAGATTCTGATTAGCACAATTAGAATGATAAAGACCTGCTATGAGGGCTTTTAGTTGAGCTAGTGAGATGTCATGGTAAATGTATTGTTGAATATTACTATTGATGCATAAACGATGTTTTACTTGTATTTCAAAACATCTTGTAGCATCATCCATTACAAACGATTTCCAACATTGACCTGCAGTGCTGGATTCTGTCTAAGGGATTTCACTCGTGGCAAGAACCTAATAACATTTTCTGACCTACTTCTAATGTTGGGCCATTCAGGTCTACATGGCCATTTTGTAGCATTTTGATGAGTCGCACGTTTGTACATTACTGTTTTCTTCCTATCTGAATTGAGTTTTCGTTCTGTACTTCTCTGTGGTATCTTGCTTGGATCCAAGTCGTCATCAGTAGCTGAGTCACCTGGTTACTCACTTTGAGCTTCCTCGCAAAGCTGAAGAAGAGGATTTTCATTTGACACTGTACTAAATTGGGCTACTTGTATAAGAAAAATTGAAAGAAAACATGTAGTAAAAATTACAAATACACGAAAATGTATTTCTGGTGTATACCATGGGTAAAACTCACCCATGTACACTTTTGCACGTGTGCGTACTTCCTGTTCGCTGTACCAGGTGGGTGAACACAAAGATTGAGTCCTGTATTCCCCCCCAGCGCAGCTGCTGAGGCGCAACCAGCTGTTATGCTGAAGTAGGTATTTTCGTTAGAAAAATGATGGGGTTTTTTATCCACCATAAGGCTCTTTGGGTAGTAACCAGTTACAGTGTTACTTGGTGTCATTTTTGTAATATTTTGCTAGGGCTTTGTTGAGTTTGGCTCTGTGAGTTTAATAGTTTTCATTAAATTTGGGGGAGTTTTGACAATTACTTCCTCAGAAGGACTCTTTATTTTTGCCCTTAAATTAAGCTACTTGTCTTAACAGTCTCCTGATCTTTGGTTATGTTTTTATTTTAGAACATTTCTATTGCTGTGTCTTCAGATTTATTAATCTATTCTGCTGTCTCATGGATATTATGGGGGTTGAATGTTTTCATCTGGTAAAGTTGGAGATGGTTCTTTTATCTCTCCTTGACATACTCGCATTTTCCTCTAAGCGTGTGAGTCGATTAGTTTTACAAGACTTGTGAATGCACTGTCACCTGTGTCAGTTCCAGGTTGGTTTGAGCTCATTTTTTTCTTTGGTACCAGGGATCGAACTCTGGACCTTGTGCTTACCAGGCTGGTGCTGTGTTGCTGAGCTATATTCCTGGCCCTGAGCTCAGTAATTCCTGCTGTGGATTGTGTTTCCTGCTTCTTATGCCCCCCAATGTTTTATTAGATGTCAGATGTTAAATTTTACTTTGGTGAGGGGTGGATACGCTTACATATATGTAAGAGATAATCTTGGACAAAAATGAATTACTTGAAAATTTGTTATTTTTTGATGGTCGTTTCTAGGCTTTTTTAAAAAGCGAAATGAGTAGATCCTTAGTCTTAGGGCTCCTTTCCTGCAGGGCGGTTTCACTACCCAGTGCCCCATGGGTTATAAGGTCTTCTATCCTGGGTGTGGGAATTCCTAGACGCCCGCTGCGCAAACCCCTTAAGTGTTCTTTCAAATGCATGGGCTGATGAGTGCTTAGCTAGCATTTGCTGTCTGGGTAGCTTTGTCCTCTCCAAGTTTCTGCCCTAGAAACCCTAAATCACTTAATCTCCTGAGTCCCTGCGCTGTGGCGTCCAGTCAGGTGGACTGCTGGGCTCTGCTTGCGCTCACGAGCTCCCCGGGCAAGAGGACAGGCCCCACGAGGGCTCGCCCCGTCCCCACTCAGAAGTAACTACCTCAATTGCTTACTCATGGAAATACCAATTTCATTTATTTTTCTCAGTTGTCAAGTCTGGTCGCTGCTTCATTTTACCTAATTATCGTAAGCAACTCTCACTGTCAGTAATTTTATTTTCAGCGGTTTCCTGATAATAAACTTAATCTATATTTCCCCTTCTCGATTCTTTCTTTCACTTTGTAATCCCCGTTTGTTGGTTCTCATTTTATTTGAAGTCTCCTTTTTCATTTGCTAGCTTTTTGTTATTTTTCTACAGCTTAAACGAAACTCTAGTAGGAGACTTCTTTTTCTTACTGAGTTTTCATTTTATTTATTTTTTAAATTTTTATTTTTTTTACAGTACTGGGGATCAAACTCAGGACCTTGCATTTGCCAGGCAGGCACTTATACCACTGAGCTATATCGCCAGCCTGAGTTTTCATTTTAAATGTCTTCTTTTTTTGTCCTAAGGGAGCATTTTTGATTTTTGCTAAAGTTGTTTATATAGCTGTTAGGAAGTTTATGTCTGTCTTACTGAAGCTTAATATGAAGTGGTTCTGGTCTAACTTTCTTTCTGCGATAATGTCTCTCTCCCACAGCACTCCCTTCCTGAAATTTGAGGCTCTGCCCCAGAGCTATAGTTCTGGAATTGCAGTAGTCTCTCTCCTCCAGCTTCTCTGCCTCCAGGAGAAGGGCAGAGTGGTGGAATTCAGCCCTTAGGGAAATATATAGACTTTGTTTTTTTTTTTTTTTTTTTGGTTTTTCTCCGGTACCGGGAACCAAACTCACGACCTTGCACTTGCCAGGCAGGCGCTTTTGCCGCTGAGCTAAATCCCCAGCCCCTGGGAAATATATAGACTTTGTGTTCACCTCTCCTGGACAAGAGCATGCCCCCACCCGGTACTGTAGAGTTAATTAGAGCCCCCCCCTTTACCTGACTGCACTTGTCCTTTTCATTGTTTTCATCACAACTATAGTCAGCAGAGGAAAAAAGATTACCAGTTCACCATTTTTCTCTCTTCTTGGGTTGGGAATTCTTGGAATTTCGTGTACTTTTACTATTATGGTTCATATCAAGGAGCTGAGAGGCAGGGATGGAGATGAGCTTCGCAGTTGTGCTATGCTGAATTTTCCACTTCTTAGCTAAATTTTGGTTGCTGCTGGTTATTTCTTTCCCTGTGTTGTTTTATGTAGTTTTATTCATTTTTGCTCACTGTGGAGGACAAGTGATTTTTTGACTTTGCTCTATCCTTACCACATGTACTAAAGTGTTCTACAGTTTGTATGTAATATAAATGAAACTCTATAATGTTGTCCTTGGTGATTTGGTTTGTCTTCTTCCTCTTTCTTTCGCAGATCCCGTGTCTGTGTGGCAGCGCGCCCTGTCTGCTGTGCCGATGCTGCCCCAGCGGGAACAACTCCACAGTCACCAGGCTGATCTACGCACTCTTCTTGCTTGTCGGAGTGTGTGTTGCTTGTGTCATGTTGATACCAGGAATGGAAGAACAGCTGAATAAGGTTAATCATTTTTTCTTAGTTACTGATTCGTTGACACTGTACAATATGCAGATGACTGACTTTCTGTGGAGTATTACAGAGAGAATGAAGATGCTATGAAATCCCAGTTTAGCTTATAAGAAAGACAGAGACTACATGTTAGGTGGTGTGTTCCGTGCTGTGATGGTGGTATAAAAAACATGCTGTGGTGTAAGGAGGAAAGAAGTAATTTTAAACAGGTGACAGAATCTCAGTGTCATGCAGAGAGGGACTTTTTTCTTCCTGAAGAAGGGGCATTTGGAAAATAAGTAAAGCTTTTGTATGTAGATATGAAAAATTAGTGTCTTGGTCACTTTTCTGTCATTGCTGAGACAAAATACCCAATGCCCAGAATTCAGGAAGGAAAGGTTTATTTTGCTCAAAGTCTGTAGAGGTTTCAGTCCATAATCAGCTGGCTCCAAGGCAGAGTGGCACGTGGTGGAGGGCAGCATTTCATGGCGGCAGAAGAGAGCAAAAGCAACAATAGCAAAAAAGGTGGGAAAAGAAAGCCTCTTTTCCTCCCTTATACTGTATTGTAAGCAGGCTGTCTGTCCCATGGCACGTGTAGGAGTCACATAGTCTCCATGCCCTCCTGTTGCACAGACAGGCTCAGGATATTTACTAAGGAAGGACCCTGGCTCCCAGCTGAGTCACTTAATTAAACTTCTAAACTTCTCATGTTGATACAGTGTATTAGCCATAACAATTAAGAAGCATAATGATTATAGGTTTTTGAGCAAAGTATCTGTGCTTTACGAAGATTGATCTGGTAGTTAGGATAGAAGTCAACCAATTATGGAGGCTGTTAGAAAACCTGAATTAGATTTTATAGGTATAGAGTTGACTGTGTTTGGCTGGCATTCAAATATTGGTGGAATCATACAGTTACAACCAGATTCTGACCCTAGAAAACTGAAAGAGAAGGGTTGCTGTTAACCAAGTCAGAAAAAAAAACATGTTTTGTTTCAGTTTTGTTTCAAGGAGTTAGATTATGGAAAGAGATGGGGAAATACATAGTAAATTCAGTCTCTGATACTGAGTTGGAGGTACTGCACTGCATACGTGTACGTACATGGCATAGGTCAGGCTGCTGTGACAAGAGTACCGTAGACTGTGCTTAACAATACCTTAACAATAGAAATTTATTTGTCATGCTCCTGAGGGTTGGAAGTCTAAGGTCAGGTCAAGCATCACTGAGCTGTAGTGATGGCCTTCCTGTTTTGCAGATGGTCATCTTGTATTCTCACCTTCTAGAGAAAAGCAAGCTGTCTCCTGTCTTTTCTGACAAGGGCCTTGTTCATGAGGGTGCTGTCTTCATGATCTAATTAACCTGCTCAGAGGTCCCATCTCGTCATACCATTCCATTAGGATTAGGATTTGAGCCGAGGGACTTTTGGTACAGATACACAGGTAGTCGTGACAATGTATGGATCCAGCAGGGAGTAGAAGATGGGACTGTAACTCAAGAGAAAGCAGAGCTAGAGCCTGTCTTAGGGATTGTAGCTTTGCGTTGCTGGGACGAGACACCTGACACACACAGCTTAAAGGAGAAAGGCTCACTTGGGCTTGTGGTTTCTACTGGCTTCAAGGTGGACAGCATGGGGGGAGGGATGGTGGAGGAAAGGTGCTGCACTCATGGTGTGCTGGAAATAGAGAGCAGAGGAGCAACCCAGGAGTGTGGGCCAGAGACCAGGCCCCAGGGACCAGGGATGGTCCCCGCGGCCACACCTGGTCCCCTCTCTGCCCCACCCGGCCCACCCAGACGGGCTCCTGACGGGGCTTGTAGGTGCTGTCTTCTCAGCTTTGTCAGGCTGACAGTTGAGATGAACCATCGCGGGCAGAGAGGAGGCTGATGCTAGGGCATCCTCAGGCGGCATCCTCAGGCGCTGGGACTCGGCCAAAGGCTCCCTAAGAGAGCTGCTGGTGAAAGGAGATCCTCTGCAGGAGCAGGGAGGGAGAACCAGGAGAGTGCGCAGGCTTTGGGGGTGGTGGGGCTTCTGGGCTGACAGGACTGTGTGTGTGTGTGTGTGTGTGTGTGTGTGTGTGTGTGGTAAGGAAGGTGAAAGCTCAGAAGTCGTCTGCACCAACAGCTAGTACATAGCTAGCATACTGAAAACGAGGTGTTATGTCAGTGTGCTGGGCTGGAGGAAGCGGGAGGAAAGAATTCATTTCCCACACACAGGCATCATATCTGTGCTTCTTAACAGCACTCGCACTTGATTCACTTCACAGTTCCTTTTCATGCCCTGATTACAACGCGGCTGTGTGTTTCACTTCTGTAGTGCTGCAGCTCAAACGCAAGGCCCCATGCATGGTAGGCAAGCTCTCAGGCCTAGCCCCAGCCTCTTAGAGTGTGACTTCTGAAATGGTCATTTGTCTTTTTCAAGACTCTAAAGTAGAAAACTACTGGCTCACTTACTGTGAGGTCTGACCCGTTCCTAATCAGGATGAGACCAGAACCTGAGATGAGCTGAAGCAGCACACTGCTGGGCCCTTTAGTTCTGGAAACACACCAGCCACTGTGGTTCTTTGAGCGCATGAGTTCCTTTCTCACTGTCTCACATTAGAGTGTAAATTTTAAAGTGTGTGTGTGTGTGTGTGTGTGTGTGTTTTGTCCTTTTGAGACAAGGTTTAGGCTAGCCTTGAGCTCACTTTATAGCCCAGGCTGGTCTCAACTTGCAGAGATCCTCCTGCCTCAGCCTCCTGAGTGCTGGGATTACAGGCCTGTGCCACCACACCCAGCATTTTGATTTAGAATGAGTCTACACCTCAGAAGAAGCCTCCAGTTTAGCATTGGCGTTGGCAATTCATTTGCTCAGGACAGTTTTTTTTTTTTCTTTTTTCTGGGTACAAAGAATTGAACTCATGACCTTGCACTTGGCAGGCAGGTGCTGTGCCTCTGAGCTATCTCCCCTGGCCCCTGTTCAGGAGAGTTTTAACTACTTTCTTTATCTAATTAAAATGTAAGAGTTTATTTTGATTATATATTCACTATAAACTATAAGGCAAACTTTAGCTTTTCAGACTCTTAAAACTGATTTCAGTTTGCCTTTTTAGTTAGTGGAAAAATACGGATCACAGGCTTGCTTTGTTTTCCCAGATTCCTGGATTTTGTGAGAATGAGAAAGGCGTTGTTCCCTGCAGTATTCTGGTTGGCTACAAAGCCGTGTATCGCTTGTGCTTTGGCCTGGCCATGTTCTACCTCCTCCTGTCTCTGCTCATGATCAAGGTGAAGAGCAGCAGCGACCCTAGAGCTGCCGTGCACAATGGGTAAGTGTGCGAATAAGCCTCTCCCAGTCCGCTGGCCTGTTCTAAGCAGTTCTGGATCTAGCGAAGAAACTTTAAAGCAAAATAAACAGAATTTGCAGAATTTTGTCTGTGAGTAAGGTAAGGAAATCCCGTTTCAACTGGAGAACATCAGACCTCAGATAGTGATAGCTTTGGGGCACTGATTGGATAACTGATTTATAATGTTTTATTCTTTCATCTTAAAATCGCTCTGTACATCTGTGACTCTTACTGGGCAAGTGGAGCTCTTCGTGTATGTTTAGTTTTGTTGGAGCAGCCCTATCCATGGAACTCTTAGTTTCCCGGAAATAAAATGTAGCCAGGATCGAAAACTTAGTCCGGAACAGTATGTTGCTTTTCTGAGTGATCGCTCTGGATAGCTGAGAAGGAAACATTAACGTGCAGTTGTCAGTCTCCTTTAACGTGAAGCACCGCATCTAGTACTTGGAGTGTTTGCAATTTTATGTTTATATTTTTCCCCACAAAAAATATCTGCTGTTGCTTATCTGTTAGCATGAGCTACCGGAGACGGAGAGAAAAACAAATGGGATATTAATATTAATGAAGAATTGTGCTGTGGCAGATTTATTTCCGTGCTTTTAGTCTCTGATGGTTTTAAGTTCTATTTTGGATGGAGGCATTTATCATGTATTTAGTAAAACTATTCATTGTGCACTGCACTTCACACTTTCACTTACTAGATAACCCTGTGAAATAGAACGGTATTCGCATAGGATTTAGTGACAAATACAGCTATCTTAAAACTGTCTTAAAAATAGTTTACATGATAGTCTGATTTTGAGGTGATTCTAACAAAGAACAGAACAGTTACATAAAATATAGCCATGCTTTAAGGTGCTCTTAAAAATTCTCGTGTATAAAATTCTTTGTTGTATGAGTGTTTAGTAATTAATATTGCATTTGTTTTTAGATTTTGGTTCTTTAAATTTGCTGCGGCAATTGCTATTATTATTGGGGCATTCTTCATTCCAGAAGGGACATTTACAACAGGTAAAAAATATTTTTTTTAATTGTATGAGACTAATGTTGTGTCAAGGAAACTGAATGACTGTTACCTGGAGTTGTAACTGTTTATTTTTGTTTTGTTTTAAATTTTTTTGTCCCTCGTTACAAATCAAGGCGTTTACGTACAGCATTATTTCCTTCCCTTTGTTTATTGGAAAGTGTCTGTGAAAAGTGAGTAATAAAAATAACGGTCCTCCCTCTCGTGCGTGTGCCCCTCTCTCCCAGTGTGGTTCTACGTGGGCATGGCAGGCGCCTTCTGCTTCATCCTCATACAGCTGGTCCTGCTGATTGACTTTGCCCATTCGTGGAATGAGTCGTGGGTGGAAAAGATGGAGGAAGGGAATTCGAGATGCTGGTATGCAGGTAAGCTCTGCCTGCGCAGAACGCTTTGCACGTCATGCCCTCTGCTGAGGACAGATAGGGAAATCATTTGGGATTTTCATGATCTAATTTCCTCAAAGAGGTTTTCCGCTTGTTGGTGGCATCATACCTATTTTACTGTACTCACAACTTGTTAAAAATCTGTTGACAGATTAACTGGGAATGCACATAAACACCAGAAAAGAGTCTACAACAACTTGAGTAGCTAACGTAAATGTTTCAAGGCCTGCCTCTGGAACCTTGTGCATTTTATAGCACAACTTCTTAGGGAAAGTAGGGAAAAAAACCACTAGAAATAAATATACAATGGTACAGTTAATGCGAACAGAGAAGGCACAGTATAAAGATTTGAAGACATACGATACGATTGTAAAAGAGTCGTTGGTGTGCATCAGTAACGCCTAAGGAAATCCCTGTGGTGGTGTAATTAATGCTCACCTGTTTGTACTCGTGAGTGTGTGCCCTCTTATACTTGGAAGTGTGCATCAGAGTTCAGATGCTGAGTGGGGCCGAATAGGTGGAGAAGTGAGGGAAGAGGTGGAAGGACTAGTGAGCTCAGCCCTTGTGCAGATGGAGGGATCTGTGACGCACACAGCCGTGATTGCCCTCTAGTGCATCATTACTGCTCAGGGGAACTAAACTCATTGTTGCTTTTTTTTTTTTTTTCTTCAAAAGAAGCTATAAGTTTTGGTTTTGTCTGGGTTTCAGCTAACAGTTACAAAATAATTGAAACAGTAGAAGCCAAATCCATTGAATCTTTAGCCTGACATTTTCCTCAAAATTCGTTGGTGACGATTGGTTTCAGTGATTAAAGTAAAACCAGTTTGGTGCTCAGAGAAGTAATCTTTAGTCATTTGGAAACTTTACTTCCATAGCCTTATTCATTAAGAAAGAGTTTGATGTGAAGGTTTCTGTCTGTTTTATTCTCTGCTGTGTCCCCGGGCTTGGAACATCGTAGGCACTCAATAAATAGTTGGAGGATCTCATCAGTGAGACGGATCTACCGATATACTTCCACATGGCACACATACTAGCGCAAAGGCTCAGCATGTTATGTGCTTCGAAGTTGACATAGAAGAATTTTAGGTTGTCTTAGTAAATAATGAAGTTTACCCTTGCGCAATACATGTTTTTGGAAGGTTTCATTTGAGGAGGGAAAACTTCAGTCTGTGGACTTGTTTCTTAGCAGCCTACCTTGTTACAGCGGAGTGATTATGGCCCTTTAAAGACTTGAAGTACTATTCCTGTCCTGGTTATTTTAAAGTAATGTGGTTTGTACATGGTAAGGTGAGCACTCCTCACTTACCGGTTTGGAAACATGCGATAGTGAGCTCTGTGGAACACGCTTCAGTGAAAAGATTCAGAACCAACTCCCCTGCTTTGTAGCCTGAATAACGCTGCTACTTTAGTTACATGTTTGGGTAAAATGACATGTTGTTTTTTAAAACAAGTCACATGCCTAATCTCTAGTATATGTGACAAAACCTAGTTACGTTTTTTTCACAGCCTTGCTGTCAGCCACAGCTCTGAATTACCTGCTGTCTTTAGTTGCCGTCGTCTTGTTCTTTGTATACTACACTCATCCCGCCAGTTGCTCAGAAAATAAGGCCTTCATCAGCGTCAATATGCTGCTCTGCGTGGGCGCCTCTGTGCTGTCCATCCTGCCCAGGGTCCAGGTATGCTCCGCAGAGCATGCTCAGTTTGCGTGCATCTTGAACCGCGTCAGCCTGTTTATCTGTGTTGCGTAATGTTTTGCTTGTAGGAGTCACAACCAAGATCTGGATTGTTGCAGTCTTCAGTAATCACGGTCTACACAATGTATCTGACTTGGTCTGCGATGACCAATGAGCCAGGTACGTTTTAGCCCTCGGTGCTTCCATTTATTCAGATAGTCATTTTGCGGGGATTAAGCTACCTAAAAGTTAGTCTTCCAGAATAGAGTGTGGAAGTACTGTTTTTTTCACTCACTTTCTTCATTCCTTAACAGAATTATAGGAAGGTTATTAAAAATTACCGGAAAAACATAGGAAGAAATAAAATCTCTTCAAATCATTTTGATTCTAGTATAGTTAATTTTTCACATTGTTACTCTTTTTGTCTGACTGCCTTGCAATGGAATATAATTGGGTTTTGAATCACATTATAGGTCAGTTATATTGCAGTCCATGGGCCAGTACAGTATATGTTATTTGAGGAAAGAGAAATTCGTATTTTAAAGAAAAAAAGACAGTGTTCTTTTATTAGTAATTTGCTTTAGAAATTAGCCTTAATTTCTAAAATATTTTTAGAAATTTAGTTTTCTAAATTTTTATTAGGTAGACGTTGACAGATCTGGCTTCGTGCGAAGAATATGCCTGGCGTTTTGTCAACACTTTACCAGTCCTCCTTTAATTCTTGTGGAACAGCAGAGAGATCAGATAGGCATTAATAGTTGTTAGGCCTTCATAGTCATTTCCACAAAGCAGTTGCTGTTGGTTTTGTGTGCAAGCTTTCTGTTTGTAGTAGTACACTTTGACAAACTGATAAACTTCATGAAGTTTGTGTTGTAATCTCACAATATGTGGTAGAAAGTCAGTGCGGTATGGCTTACAACATCTTAATTCTGCTTTTGACTCTTCTCGAATTTTAGTAATTCAGAGAGGTCCTCTGAATTCTACTCATTCCCGATTAATAAAGTTTTCATGTATCTCTGTTCTTACAGAAGTTTGAAAATTAAATGATTTAACTTTTCTGAACACTTCTATATTTGCAGTATAAAACTTAAAAAACTTAAAATCTTCCTATTAATAGAGAAAAATTATTCTTAAGTATTTTGTTGTTATACTTGTGCCTTTTCCAGAAAAAGCTTTTGAATTTCCAGGGATATGAGGTAAAAAAAAATTGGTGCCCGAATAAACAAAGGTTTTTGATACCCTAACATTGTAATTTGCCTTTCAATTTTTTACAGAAACGAATTGTAACCCAAGTCTTCTGAGCATCATTGGCTTCAACACCACGAGCACCAGCCCGGAGGGGCAGTCTGTCCAGTGGTGGCACGCTCAAGGGGTCATAGGCCTCATCCTCTTCCTGTTGTGCGTCTTTTATTCAAGGTAATGGAAACCATGACCAAAGTGCTAACTGGGGAGCCTGCTGCTGATTCAGGAATGATTTCTCTGGTTTTGCTCTCACGCAGCATCCGCACCTCGAACAACAGTCAGGTTAATAAGCTGACGCTTACAAGTGATGAGTCGACTCTGATAGAAGACGCTGGAGCCCGGAGTGACGGGTCCCTGGAGGACGGCGACAGTGCTCACCGTGCTGTGGATAACGAGCGGGACGGCGTCACGTACAGCTACTCCTTCTTCCACTTCATGCTCTTCCTGGCCTCGCTGTACATCATGATGACCCTGACCAACTGGTACAGGTACTTACTAGCCTGCATGGCAGTGTGTGTGATTCTGTCGTGAGACCTGCTGCACCGTGAAGTGCTTTCCAGGCTGATGGGGCGTACTGTTCACAGCTCAGCTAAAGGGAATGGTGAGACCGCGGACAGAAATGAAGACTTCTTGTGTTACCAGTAACACAAACGTTGGAGCAGTTCCAAATCTTAAAGAGTATTAATGGAAAACTATAAAACCAAAATTTCTTCATAGAAATGTGTGTTGCTAACTGATCTGATAGAAGATGCCATTTTTTTCTGGGAAGACGAATGCGGAACTTTGTAGTTCCCTTTTTAAAAATCATATTATCTAAATTATAGAATAATTTGTGTAAGATTCAAATTGAAATGTACAGTTTAGTAGTTTTAAGTGCATGATGCCCTTGAATGGTATGTGAAATTACTTTCAGTACTGGCAAAAGAAAAGAATTACCTTGCTGTGTTTTCCTGAGGGCAGCCCTTAAGTGATTATTACTGAAAAGAACAGTTTTTTAAATTCCTATATTACATCATGTTAAGCTAGAAAAATCCAGATAGTTCTCAGTAATTCAGAGCTTTGTCTATCAGGTATAATAGTATAGATCAAAAGGATTGATTCGGTAAGCCCCCCTATTACGGTGTTACCCTTCTTTTACTCTTTAAAATAATAAAAGAAAAAAAAAGATTGAACACAGAAATCTGCCACGGGTCCTCCGCACTCTGTTAATTCTGAGAAGGCAAGGGAAGTGGGGAAGATGGTACATTGGGTTGGGACTTTGCGGACAGACCGTGCACCTTATTCACCCGGAGTTCACGTTCCATTTCTACCTAGTCATGTACAAAATGCCAGGTTCTGTACGAAAGAGCCACCTCAGAGTCCTGTACCCTGCGCTCCGGTAAAGGACATCACTGACTTTTACCTTGGCCCAGCTACGAGATCCACGTGGGGGGCAAGGCAGCAGACCCCGTTCTGCTGTGCGTGTTGCTGGCATGTAGACTGCACTGCGTGCTGACACTGATGACCCTCTCCCCTTCCCTGTGTTCTCCCGCAACCCTCAGGTACGAGCCTTCACGTGAAATGAAGAGCCAGTGGACAGCCGTGTGGGTGAAGATCTCCTCCAGTTGGATTGGCATCGTGCTGTACGTTTGGACACTGGTGGCGCCGCTCGTTCTTACAAATCGTGACTTTGACTGACAAGGTTTCTGGCATGAAGCTTCTACTTGGCTCATGCTCATTGGAAATTCGCAGTATTCCCAACTTTTGTACAGTTGTGTGTGTGTGCTTCCTGTGTAATTTCTCCAGTGTTGTTCTGGCATGAATTAGATTTTACTGCTTGCCATTTTATTCGTTGTTTTCTTGCCAAGTGCATTAATCACGCGCAGTGTGATCACAGGCGGAGGAGCGTGTGAGTGTGGCAGTGAGTGAGGAGAAGTGGACACTGGGAGGCTGAGCCTCCGCTCTCTATATGTGGGATGAGGAGTACGTATGAATCAGAAGTAAATTAACAGTAAAAACAAAATGCTTGACAGTGTGATTTTAAATTTGTTAAAGAGTATAAACTGTCTTAGCATAAAAGTAAATGTATGGCTGCCTTTTGAAATACTTGATGTACTGCCTTATGGAAGCCTGCATGGAACATAACATGGTTTTGCTAAAATTATAAAACAGGTCACTTACATTGAGTTGTCTGAGGAATGCAAGTTACTTACATTTTGTCAGGACTTTCCCTCAATATGCAGGTGAGGGGCTTGAACAGGGAGCGCGCTGGCTCAGTGGAGAACAGTGTAGTGGTGAGAAGTTCAGGCACCGTCTTCACGGGCCAGCTTGTTGGCAGTGAGCATTGGCCTGAGTGTTCTGTGAGATGGTGAGTGTCCTTGGGTGGATCCAGCGACTTTCACCAGCCAGATGAACCTTTGCTTTGTGGCCATTATAAAGCCGTGCAGCAGGTGTAGGCGTAATGGAGACAGTAGGAACTCTGAAGGGTGTAGACAGTGTTTTAAAATGATAATCATAGATTAAAAAAGAGAAGTTAGTTTTGAAAGTCAAAAGGTGGTAAAAATTTGACAAGGCAGGAAGAAACTGTAAAACGCTAGTCTTCAGTAGCTCCTTAAGTAAAAGTGCAGTTCTTTCATTTAAAAGTGAAGAAACTAAAGCACAGATTTAAATGGCTAATCAGTGCAAAGCTAGGAAATTCTAAGTCTACCCACACTAGCATTAATCTCTGACATGAAGAAATAATTTTATTCGAAATAACAAGTGCATAATTGATTTTGCACCTCAGTAGGAGTGGGTACTTCACGGGGCATGTCTTGCTGCTGTTCAGCCTGTGTTCTGTCTGTACACCGAGAGTGGGAGGATGCTGGACTGCTGTAGCATAAACTTCACGGAGCATTTCACAGGTCACCAGATGTTCAGTGCTTTTGTATTTACTGCCATGTAATTGAAATACATAGGTTATCATAGTCTTTCAACCTAGAAATCAAGCAGTATGAAAGTTAATTTAGATAGAAACTTATTTGTATGTGTAATTAGTGCCTGATGAAGCCTTTAAAAATTTACATTTGCTTCTTTAAAAATATTTATTACTGTAAGTGGAATATTACAACTCACTTAAATTCCCCAACCTTACTCTGTGTAATGTGTTTCACAATTTTGAATGGCTGTGTTTGATCTCTAAATAAATGAATTCCGACAAAGTACATAGTGTGTTAATTCTTCGCTAATTCAGATTTATTTGGCTGTGATATTCACACGTCCCTTTTTCCAGGTGAAAGGGAACCTGGCTGTGGAGAGTAGCTGAGGGTTTTTTGCCGCTGTTGACGGAACTGTCTTCAGAGTACCTTGGGTTATCCGTACCCGAGTTCCGACCTTGGAGCTCGGTGTGTGCTCACCCTGGGAGCCTTCAGTGGGTGAGCCAGCCTGTTGTGGAGAGTGCGAGGACCTCCCACAAGGCCTCACTCACCTCCCGTTCCCACCGCCTGCGAGGCGTGCCCCTAAGGGTAAGCCTCTCACCTGCAGGGGACAGTGAACATCCAACCTGCCTGGCCTGTGCTGGTCAGCACTGAGGTGAGGCCGAAGCTGGCATGTGCGAGCCCAGCCGCTGTCAGTGTAGCAGTGTGTGAGACCCCTATCTTGAGATAAAAGGGCTGCTTTCAGTCTCCAGTACCAAAAGTCAAATGATAGGTTAGCACACTTCAGTACATTTTGAATAATTCTTTCACAATGGTCTGAGTTTCTCTAAAATTAAATGCAGGAAAAATCCTTGTAAAACTCAGGTCATTTATTCCAGATTAAAAGATGAAATCATACGTTCACAAAAATCCCTGTACCTAAATGTTCCTAACAGCTTTCTTTGTAATAGCCAGAATTTGAAATATGCCACGTAGCCAGCCTTCGGGGGGCAAATGGTGGACTGCACTGGGGTGTATGTGCACCGTGGAGCGGGACCACAGCCAGTCCCAAAGGCTCACAGGCTGTGGGATTCCATTCATACAATGTTCCTGTAAAAAATGCAAGATTAGAGGTTGCTTGGGATCAGGATTCCTCAGGAGTTGGTACTTTATTTTTTTTTTCCTCCCACCCTAAGACGTTTTGAGCAGTTTCAGGTTTCCGGCCAGATTGAAACATTTCCCATATTTCTCTCTTGTCCCTGTCTCATAACATCCCTGTGTCCGTTTAGGAGCGCACGTTAATGAATTACTGCACTCAGAAGCCTCCGGTTTCCATTGGAGGTCACTTTTGGTGTTGTACATTCCGTGGATTTGAAAGAACGTATGGTGGCATTTATCCACTGTAGTAGCGTACAGAATAGTTTCACTGCCAGAGTCCTCCTCTGCCTGCTCCTCCCTGCCTCCTGCCAGCCCTTGGCAACTACTGACCATCATCTTTCTCCTTCCTTTTACCTGTTCCAGAGTGGCCCATAATTGGATTACACAGTAGGTAGCCTTTTCAGATGGGCGTATTTCATTGGCAGTAAGCAGTCACACTCTCTGCCTTTGTGGCTTCGTAGTTGATTTCATTTTAGAGGTGAGGAACACCGTACTGTCTGGATGGACCGGTTACCCACTCACCAGGGACAGCGTGAGGAGGCTGCTGGGAGCACGCATGTGCAGGTTTCCGTGCGAGCTGTCCAGCTCCTCCGGGTAATCGGCATCTGCTAGATAGTGGTCAAGTATATTTACTACTGTAAGAAACTGCCTATCTCAGAAAGGCCCTACCATTTCCCTCGACCACCAGTGAATGAGAGAAGCTTCTGCCATGCCTTCGCCATACTGTTCTGTGTTCATTTTCCTGTTGCCATGGTGTACTTTTCATGTGTTCACCGTATGTGCATGTTTGGTGAGGTGTCTGTAAATAATGCCTTTCGAAGTCAGATTAGTTATTTGAGTTTTGAAAATCTGTATATTTTAGGCAACGTGCTTTGACAGATACTTCTTTTTGCAGATGCTTCCTTCTGACGTTTGCCTTCACTCTCGAGACTGTCCAGCTTCTCTGCTCTTTCGTAGATTGTGTATTTGGTGTTGTATTTTAGGAAGTCGTTACCAAATTCAAGGTCATGCAGATGTTCTTGTTATGCCCCAGTTGTACAGTTTGCATATTACACTGAGTTCTGTGACCCATTTTAAGTTCTTGAAACATGTAATGACTATAGACGTAGATTCAGGTTTTTCATGCCGATTGCCTGTTGGTGCAGCTTCGTTTGCGGAAAGGCTATCTTTGCTCCATTATATTGTCTTCGTTGTTACAGATCAGTTGACCAGTGTATGCGGGTCAGTCTGTGGGGTTTCTGTTGTGTTATGTATTCTTTTTCTAGTTTACATGGTCTTGATTATTATCGCTTTATAGTGAATAACAGATGGGTGGTATCAGTCCTAACGTCGGTTTTCTTCAGAACTGTTAGCTATTTGGGGTAATGTCCCTCTTCATAGGAACTTCAGGAGCAATGGATCGTTGTCCACGAAGTATTCCTGGGGTTTTGATTGGGATTGTATTCCATCTACGGATCACACCGGGAAGAACTCACATTCGCCACTATCCAGTCCTCTGTTTACCTGGGGAACATGTCCTCTCCCTTTGTTAGGCTCTTCATTTGATTCATCAGTTTGTGCTTTCCTTCAGGTACATCTTCTGCTTGTTTTATTTTGGAGGTGCTAATGTAAATGATGCTGGTTTACATTGCAAATCCCAGTTGTTCGCTCCTGTTAGGGAAGAAACTTGCTTTTGCCTATTAACCATGTAGTATTCTGTAACCTTGCTGTAACGTCGTACAAGTTCCAGAAATAGTTTAGCAGTTCTGTTGTGTTATGTAGAGAGATGACTGAGTCATCTGCTAAGGGGACTTTCTTCTTCCAGTCAGTGCTTACGCCCTTTATTTCCTTTTTGACCTTACTGCCTTAGCTGTGATGATGGAAAGCAACAGCGCAAGGGGACGTTCTTCACCTTTATCTTGATCTGGTGGAAAAGCTTCTAATTTCTCATCAGTAAGTGTTTTGCTGTAGGCTTTCTGTTGTCAATAACAGTATTAAGCTGAAAAAGTTCCTGTCCCTTGCCAACGGTTTTTGTTTTGTTTTTGTTTTAGCAGGAATGGGTTTAGATTTTGCAAAAACCTTTTCCTCCATCTATTGATACGGTCATGGGTTCTATTGTTCTTTAGCCTCCTGATGATACTGATTTTCAGATGTTGAGCTGAAAATGCAGTGTTGTATTTGAAATGTTGAACTGAAATCTTTACATACTGGGAACAAATCTCTGTCCTGTGTACAGTTTTTATATGTTGTTGGACTCAATTCAACATTTAATTGTTAATATTCTGCATCTATGTTCATGAGAGGTTGTGGTCTGTGGTTGTCATGTGGTATTTTCTTGTGGTTCTGGTATGGTGATGCTGACCTCATTGAATTAGGAAGTATCATCTGCCTTTACTGTGGATGAGACTAGAGGATTGGCGTAGATTCTTCCTTCAGTGTTTGCTAGAGTCTGTGTGAAGTCAAATGGGAACTGGTGTTTTGTTTAATTATTGGTTGTTTTTAAAGATACAGGCCTATCTAGTTGACAGATTATCTTTCAAAAACTTGGTTCCTTTTGCCGGGTGAGCACATTTGTGGGCATCTGCTTGTTCATCGTTTGCCTTTATTATTCCCATAGTGTCCATGGGATCTGAAGCCAACCCCTCATTCACGTCTGGCATTAGTCATTTGTGTCTGTCTCTCTTAGCTGTCAGGAGGGTTTGCAAAGATCGGTTTTTAGTTTCATTGATTTTGTTTCCAGTTTCTTTGGTTTCTGCTCTATTTGTTTTGGATTTAGTTTCCTTTTCTGGTTTTCTAGGCTGGCAGCTTGGACCATTCTTAGATGTGCATTTAATGCTGTAAAAGTTCTCCATGTGAACTGCTTTCACTATACCCCACTGATTTTGATGAATTCATTTACTTAAAAGTTCTTTTAAAATTTGGGGGTGGGGGTATTTTATTCAGGTTATTGAGAAATGTGTTGCTTAATGTCTTTTTGAGTTTTTTTTCCTATTTTTTTTCCCCACCGGTTTGTAGCTAATTCCATTTTGAGAGCAGATGCTGATTTTTACCTGTTTAAATCTGCTAAGATATATTTTATGTCCCAGAATATCCTGTATCTAGGTGAATGTTCTGTGCAAACTTGAACATGTACCATTACCGGATGAAATCGTGTATGTCGGTGAGATCTAGGTGTGTACGTATGTGTGGTATGTATTAGGTGTGTATGCAGTTAAATCTAGTCAGTCAGTGCTGGTGTTGAGTTCAACGTCCTTAATGATGTCTGCTGGATGTCTCCCGTTTCTGTAGAGGAATGAAGTCCCCAACTAGAATACTGACTTATTTCTATTTCTGCCTGCAGATGTTAGTTTTTGCCTTACGTATTGATACTTTTCTTCGGTAGGTACAGGTGAGAATGGTTATGTTTCTGGACAGTGGACCCTCTGTCATTATGTAGTACCTGATGGAAACCTGGATCTATAGTCTGCTCTCAGAAATTCATGTAGGTACTCTTCCTTTGATTGGTTGTTAGCCTAGTGTATTTGTCTCCCTTCACTCAAAGTGGGTTTCTTGTAAACATAGTTGGGTCCTTTTTTCACTGTACTCTGACCATCTCTTTTAATTGGTACATTTAGCTCACTGACACTCAAAGTTGTTACTGATAAGTATGTACATTATTACTGTTTACTTGTGGTCTTCGTTCTATTTTTGTCTTCCTTTTCTTTTTGTCAATGTAATTGGGCTTTTTATTTTGACAGAATCTTGCTGTACAGTTCAGGCTGACTTTGAACTGTCCATGTAGCCCAGCCTGGTCTCAAACTTCTGTGATTTTCCTGCCTTAGTTGCCTCAGTGCTGGGATTACAGGCATGCGCCATCATGCCCGGCCTTATTTAGCCATCTTACAGGATTCTGTTTTCCCCTTTTTTAAACTTTAATAGTTGTCCTAAATTTGCAACCTTACATCCAATTAAACCCCGTTCTCAAACAACACATACCTCACAAGTAATGAGAGTGCTGCGTCCCTCGGTCCTTGTGTCTTCGCGTTCGCTTCACTCCTATGTGTAAACACATGTAAACACGGGTGTGTTGTTGCTCCCACATGAAGTTCACCTGGTCACACTAGTGGGAACGCACTGGGAAAATACTACCTCTGGAGTTTCCTGCAGGGAAAACGTTTACTGGTAAAATTTAGCAGTTACAGGATTATGCATGCTGTATTGTTTGCGTAATACATTTGTAGAAAATCCACTTTTCTACCTTTACATGTATTCTTCACAATATCTAATAAAGTTCAGCTACACTTGTAAAACTCATCTTACTCTAGTTATTTGTGTTTTCTTTATATCTTGCATTAGATTTTCAGTACTTTCCTCTGGTAAACTGGATTTTTAGAAGAAACCTCATCCCATATTAAATCCCATTTTCATCCCTCATGTGCACTAGAAGCTGATTTGCTTGACTAGAATTTCAAAACTAGGTCTCATCCTCGTAACTGTTACTCCTTCTGTCCAGAGACAGGGGTGCCCCTCTTACCACTAGATCTGACCAAGGCACGTTGGAAAAACTTGCTGCCCCATAGGTGGACATTTAAAAATACTGTTGAGAAACAGAATGACAGAGTTAAAAAAAATTTCGCTTTCAACAAAATTAAAAGGTGATCTGACTGAGTCAACTGCTGGTAACAGCATAAAAATAACCTCAGTACAGTTTTAAAGAACTGAGGAACACCTCTGAAACAAAATACCCTGCTGTATCATCAACTTGTATTAGTGATGAAATTTCTTACAAATAAAGTTGATGCTCAGTACCTACCCTTCCTATAAAATCTAAAGACCTGTTTATGCCACTAAAAGTTGTAAACTCTGACCAATTTTTACTTTTTATATTTAAAAGGCCATCAAAATTTAAGACTGTATTAGTGAACACGAAACACTGACAAATCAACCTCAGGTAACGTGGAGGCAGACATAACTCAGTGCGCCCCTCCTGTGTCCAGGACTGACGGGCACCTGGCCAATGAACTGACTCAAGCAGCCAGGTTCACCCTCCCCAGTGCACCCTTGAAAGCTGCACACTGCTTGCATTAACGTGCTCAGCAATGAGGCCTTGATTCTGTCTTGCCGCCAGGCAACTGATGTGAATTTATTGGATCCAGCGAGCTTGTGCTTGCCTGTCCCACAGGGGGACTTGTACCACCTCTCAAGGGGTCTTTGATTACCGTAATTCAAAGGCTTTGGTCTAGCAGACCTGACGTCATACTACAGGTCCTTAAGGAAAACCTTACAATGGTAAAAGAATGGTAATACAGCTAAATTTGTGGTACAGCAGTTGTAAATGCGTTTTCTACACACCAGCAGTGGGTATTTGTAAACTGTGTTCAAATTTAGGGAATGAGTTACTGACAAACTACTCATGATTATACATTTTTTATTTTAGTGAAATTATTGTAATTTTAATTAGTATGAATGATACTAAGTTTTATATTTAGGAAGCAATTCCAATTCAGGCAATTAATTTGGCCCATTCATAAGACTTTTTCTTAATTAGTACAAAGACCAGTAAGAGTGATTAGCTCCATTTACCACCAGTGGTACGAGCTGCGCACCGGGATGAGCCGGCGGTGGCTCAAGCCGCCTGCATTGTGTACCTAGGTCCACGTGAGGGTTTTCTTTGCAAAGTGAGATCTCAATGCTAAATGCACAACAAAAACCACTTTAAGATTCATTCCTTAACCACTTGAATCAGTGCGAATACTGAAAATTAAGGTAATAAAAACCTTCCTTTACATTTGAAAAAAGTCTTTTTGACAGTATTAGCAAGCATGTGTCCTGAAATGTAACTAGTATTAGTTTGATCATTCTTATTTTTTCTGTCCATACTTGTGTACGTGTGGGTCTCTGGCTTATTCTCACACGCATAGACACACACAATCGCACATGGTTGGTGGAACACATATTCATACTACTAATTTTTGATATGTGGTAGAGGTCAGGTATGGGCATTATGAGGGACTGCAAATACACAAAAGGGAAAGATTATGAGGCGAGTATGAGAACGTGCTAAGCCAGTCAGGACTGTGTGTGTGTGTGTGTGTGTGTGTGTGTGAAGGCAAGGGTCACAACACACCAACGTGCTACACATCTTTTCTCCTATGCAGCTAGTTATCCCACTGCACAGATGGAAAAACACCTTGCTGACAGGAAGAGGAAATGGCATGGCCACTAGCTAAAGTTTTTACCACAGACAAGGTATACTCACACTGACGATCATCTGTGTTTAAATATAGATGGGTTTTTTAAACACCTAGAAAGCTCATTTTTGGGGGGGCAGGGGGGGTTTAGAGGACTAGGCCCAAATCAACGTGTAACTTACGAAAGCTGGATGATTCTTTGGGGGAAATTGCATTATCAAATCATCAGTATTTTGATTCCTTTAGATACATTTTTAAAAGTACACGACTACTGTATGTTAAAATAGCAATAGTTTTTCAGAGTTGTTAAGAGAGCTTTAGAGCTCCAAAATGCCCTCAAGAAAATGAACCTTATTCTACAGTGAGAAAGGGGAAGGAAACAAAAGGTATTTTGCACTTCCTCTCCCGTTCTGCGCTGTCCTTACCCTAACAAGCTTTAGGAAAATGACTTCTTTAGCTCGTGCTGAAATCCAGGGCGCCAAGGTATAAAAAGTCGCTCAGAGCCCACTGTTCCTAGGTCAACACCTAAAATATTCAGCCTCTGTGCTGGGCCTTACTTTTTGTTTTGTGGGGCTGAAGCTTGAACCCGGGGCCTTGTCAGACTAGCTCTTCCTTCAAATCTTAACACCACAGAAGGAAAATTCTGACACCGAGAGAAAGAGAGACTCAAGACTGAACCAGAAGGCTGCCCTGGGCTCCTTCAGCAGCTCTGCAGCAGTGCTTGAGCACTAACTAACCGCACTGCTTCCAGTGCGGGCCTAAAGGTGGTTTCAGGTGACGGCACCTAGCCGTAAGGCTCTGCAGTTCTTCTGGTCCACTGCTCCAGTGCCGGGAGGGGAGTTAATTATTTCTCCCACTCCTCTGTTCGCAGCATCCTGCAACACTGCTCTTACTTGCAACAACGAGAGGCGTGGTTCTCCCAGGTCTTTATTATAAACACAGAAAGCAAGCCAGCATGGTCTTTCAACAAAGCACAACTTTAAAATACATGAAATTTAGAACCATTCTCCCACTGCTGCACCACACAGCCCGTTCTTTCAGATGAGGCACGAAGACCTTGGTGTGACTCACATCTCGACAATAACGGACAAGAGACAGCTTAAAGCCACTTTCTTCCTAAGAGAAGGAAAACCTGATTTGTGTGGTACCACCTCCAAAGAAGACATGTTAACGAACACAAGTACTCAATATTCATTGTATTTATTTTACTAAATAGTATGGTTCAAAAAAACACAAACCAGAAACTTCCACTTAAAATGAGTCCACCTCCATGGCTGGGCTGACCCCACGCCGGCCCACACTGGGCTGCGCACGGAGCTGGGGCGGCAGCCAGGGAGCACCGTCAGCGCCGCCTTTCCTGCGACCGCAGGTGAGCTTCTCCGGATGGAGACAAAGCAGAGTTTTACAAGATACAGGCACTTTATGTTCCCAGTTTTCAAAAGAAGCCAAGGGGAAATATTTAATAAAGGTAACAAACAGACAAAGCTTAAAGAAATCCATTAGTTCAGTGACTTACACTTGAATGGACAGCATGGAACAAGTGAAACAGAAGTTTAACTCGGTCAGTGGTCACACTGAAAGGAAACCCAAATTACCACGACTGGAGAAGTGGCGTTCCAACTGAAAGCCGCGCCAGCGGTGCGCATGAGGCCCCGTGCCGGGCAGCTGAGTGACACCTGAAAGCTCTGCAGAACGTGCGGAGAGAAAGCAGGGCGGTGCTTTCACCCCACAGTGTCCGATTAGAACAAAACAAAGCAACTTACAAAAAAGTACCGAACGATACTTTAAAATAAATAGTTCATCATTCTGATGAATATATACACGTTGAGTCCGCGTCCTGGGGGTTTAACTATCTAAAAGTGGCATATCACTATCCAGGGGCGCAGGAGCCAGCTCACATAAATAGAATAGGGTGGCCTCGCTGGCTTCCGCCTCAGTCAATGGCTCCAAGCGCACCAGCTTGCTTTGGGTTGGCTCTGGGTCCAGGCTGCTTTCCAGGAGCTCGTCCACCTCTATGGGCTTCTCCGCAGAGGACACAGCTTCTGCCGATGCTGTCGTGCTCCCCGGCTCCACGGCGGACGCGGGGTTCCCGTCGAGGAAGGCCAGCAGGGGAAAGGCCGTATACTGGATGAGCTGCTTGTCTGCAAAGACAGCACACACTTAACACGGCTGGCCAGGGCCATGCGCTCCCTCCAGGCACAAGGTTATTAAATCACAAAGCACAGAAGCCAGGCTTTTACTTGATAATTAAGAAAGGTAGTTCACTCAGACTGCCCAGTCTAAAGAGGAAAAAATGACTTCTCAACCACGACCTTACTCACTCCATTTTCCCTCTCTGATAGAACCTCGAGACACTTAAGCACAGAGGCAAACCAGGGTACTCTGTGATCAAACTGCTCAGTACCACCAGGCCTTCTTTGGCGGTCTGTAGTTTTCAGTCTGAAAACAAACCTACCAAAAGCCGTAGTACCTCTGTATCTACCTGGTTTGGACTTCAGTTTTCTTCCTTCTTCAGAAACGGGTTGAACAACATTATTCTTGGTAGCTTCCAGTCCTTTATTCTCAGACTGGAAGAAAAAAATGTAAAAATACTGGTTTCATGTACTGTACGGCTCAGAAAAGTACTAGAAAATTAAAACTGACACAATACACAAACACTGATACGCTACCTGAAATACGCGGGAAAGGGAAACACCAGGAACACGGAGCACACAGAAATGAGAGCACAGGCGCCAAGACTGGGTCAGAGAATTGTGTGCTCGGAGGGATTAAGGAAAGAGCCCGACCCGAGAGGACAGGAGTTGGGAAGGGGGCGCGGGTATGCACACAGACAAAATGTGTCAAGGGTAAAGCACGGGAATGGATCAAAGACAGATGGTTTCAAATGCTGAGAGATAATTAGCTCCTTAAACAATTAAAGTCATTTCAAACAGCTCGGATTAAAAATGTGTCACACATTTCTCCTCGCTCATAAACATGTGGAGCAGCTCAGCAGGACATCCTTAGACCAGCCCTGCACTTGCAAGTCTCAGGCTGAGGTGGTGACTCTTCTCTTCTGTGGCTCTTTTAAATTGTCTTTGTCACTTAAATGGACTGTTTAACCACCGTCTTTTCTCCTTACATCTGACTGTGATAAGGAAATTATAATCTTTTCAGTGATCTTCAAATCGAGGTGCTGAGGTTCACAACTTTTTCTGAATAACTTAATCCTAGATTTCTGTAAGCTGGTTAATAACATGATGAAACAAACATCTACATAAAAAGTCCTAAAAGCCCCTTAATATTCATTATAAAATGAAATAGTGTAAGTTCCTAGGATTCAGAAAGAAGACCCAAAATAAAGAGAAATGATTAAATCTTCCCAGAAGTTTACATTACAGTATTTCATCATTTAGCATTCACAATAAATACATAAACATAATGTAAGAACACGTTTATATACTCCCTAGAATAGGTATTTTCTAAGAATAACACTTGTTTTCTAAAACATGAAAACCAGCATGACAAATGGTGAAAATTCTCATCATAGTGGCCACTCGGCCAGCCACACCAAGGAGAGGGACCCTCGTCAGGAAAACCTTTTCACCTATGCCCTATCTTCCTCAGCATGAACAATTCAATGAGGCAGAAGATCTGATTACTTGAAAACACTGATCTAAATTCAAAACTATAATAAACGTTGCTCTCCAATGTAATTTTTTCATAGCAACATAGACTATGCAATTTGATACTTAACTATTTCTAAAAACTGTATTCACACTATTGACTTTTAAAGGAAGACAATCCGAAAACAAAGACTCACTGTCGAGCAATAAGTAAACAATAAGCACATTCACTAGAGTAATACATGATATATAGGTCTATTCAGTTTAAGGTGTATGACTTGGTAACGCTCAAAGATGAAAATATGAATTACAACAGCTGAACTTACCAACAGAATCTTACACTATAAACATCAGTGAACAATGATCTACATGCCAAATTCAGCGTGCTGCCTGCTTGTACACAAGTTTTATTAGAACAGAACTACAAATTAATTAATTAACTAACTGTATTTTTGTGACTGGAGCAGGGCTTTGCAATGAGGTTCCCCAGCCCTTTTCATTTCTCTTGTGAGGCACGGTCCCACTAGGTCGCTGAGCTGTCCAGGCTAGGCTCTAGCAGTGCTGGAATTACGGGTGCATGTCACAGGCACAGGGTACGCCGTCTTTCCTGAACTGTCTGTAACTCCCTCTGCATTGCAACTGAGGTGCTGAGTAGTCAGGACAAAGACAACAGAGCCTACAAAACCAGAAACACGGGGGCTGGGGATTTAGCTCAGCGGCAAAAGCGCCTGCCTGGCAAGCGCAAGGTTGTGAGTTCGGTTCCCGGTACCGGAGAAAAACCACAAAAAAAAAACCAAAAAAAAAAAAAACAAAAAAACAAAACCAGAAACACTACTTGGCCTAAGCATGCCAACTCTGATATGAATCCCTCCAATACTGAATGCATAACCACTTCCTGATTCATACATTCTTCAAGCTCTAACTTAGCCAGGCTGTCACTGTGAAAATGTAGAAAATCTAGTCAGGCTATCTCCTCACAAGTAACAATGAAACTATTTATCCCCATCACTGTAATTATTCATATTTGTTTGACATGTGCTCACTCTTAAATTATATAGAACAGGAATCAAGTAAAATGGACTTCATATTTTTAAATTCACACTTGATTTGAGTTGCATGAAAAATAAGGGCTGCTAAAAACTTCGAGGGAAGGGAGCACACACCTAGTCAAGACAGCAAGCTGTGCTCCTCCGCACCTGCGGACCACTCCCCACTTCCCGAATGCTCCTTGCATCCCAGTTAGGAGTCCCTTGCACTTAGTATATATTCCTAAGTTTTTAATGCATGCTAATGCAGTGGTGAAACTTAACATAAGTAGCAATAAATTTTCAATTAAAGCTAAAGTTTAGAGGACAAGTAAGAATATGGAACGCAGCACATAAAACATGAAGAAATCCTTTTTATCACTGATTTCAATGGTATCCAAACAGGGCAAGATTTGGTGACCTCTGATTCATACTGAGTTCATCTCCATGCGCAGCAGAGCTCTGCAATGATCTGCCCCGAAACCACGCTTAACATCTCACCTCCCATTTTACTGTCTTGTTCACGCATACAGGATGAGCATAGGAAATGCTTTTGCACCCGGGAGGACACTGCTCTCTACTTACTAGAAGCTTTTTCAGATTTTTATAGCTATGGGTCCTGACAGCAACATGAATTAAAACTTACTTTTGTATTATTGATGTAATCTGTGGGATTCATCTGCACAGAACTAGTGAAAAGCTGAAAGACCAAACAAGAAAGATGATAAGTTTAAAAAATACTTTAAAAGACTTGTGTGTTCAAAGTTTTTATACAACCATGTGAGCGAAGAGCTCTAACTCCTGCACTAGAACTCTCCACACAGGCAAACGGGTTCAGAAGAGAAATGTGGGAAAGAAAGGGAGAACGAAACAAAAGCAGCGCAGGCAGCCGCACGCAAGAAGGCTCTCACGCACCGAGCTTCTCTTCAAACGTGGGGGCAAACCCCTGCGATTCGGAACCTCGGCTTTCCCGAATTCCCTCCTCCTCCATCTTACTTCACTCAGCGTCACGACCTTTAACCTTTCTCTCCCTAAATGCCTCTGGCTTTCTGTGGCACCGAGGCCGCCTGAGTACCGGGTCCTGACCCTGAACGCTCACCCAGCAACTGCTCACTAGCTGACCCACTTACAAAACCTGCGCTGTCTGGCACCTGCTGTCCCCACCAAGCGAGCCCTTGGGCAGCAAGACAGAGCTCTTTGGTTCTTCTTAACCTCGCCCACCGTGGGAAGTCCTGCGTGTTAAGATCACTACTCTGCACTCCGGCTGGTTTACGGGAAACTGTCCTTTCAGTCAAGGCTTCAAACCAGTCATCCCATGGGGATTCCCTGCACATCCGGGAAGTAACTAACACCATGACAGAAACACTATCCCTGAGCTCCAGGAGAGCTTTCAGTCTGGAAGACAAGACCAATGCCAAAGAGCCCACACACTCAGGTATGACCAGCAGGGCAAGGAAGGACGGTGCGACTCAGAGGTGCCAGGAACTCGAAGACCGAGGAGGAGGAAAGCAGGCAGAGACACACTCACGATGGAAGCGGAGAGGGCCTGTGCTACGCCTCGGTCCCTCAAGGACGGCGCGGACTTGGAGGTGACGACGCCCTGGCAACTACAAAGAAGGTACGCATGTCTGAGCGATGGTAAGGCTAGCCCCAACGACACAGAAGTCCTTAGCTGACAGCGGTTACACACATGCGTTCAAAGCAGGGCAGGGCCGGCTGCTGAGGGCTGCTCCCACCTCCCGGCCCTAAGCCACGCGAACCACCTGAGGAGACGTGGTCACTCAGTGAAAGGCGCACAGGCCACGGGGACACTCTTCCTCCCTGCTCGCGACGCTGGCCCCTCCTCAAGGCTCCATCAAGCGCCTGTAACAGTGGTCTCAGAACCACCGCTGCCTGCTCTGTGCTTTTTACTTCCTTCCTCTTCATCTCGCCTGCTGCTCCTGAGCGGGCACAGAGCTCAGAGCCCGGAAGCAGACGGCACACGACTGCTCACCTCTGCGTCCCTGGCCTGGCAGGACTTCCGAGACCTGACCGGACGCTGCTCTCCTGAGGCGGACACCCAAGAAGGTCAGCATGGTGCCCTCACCTGTCTTCCTCAGCCGCCTCCTTGCCAAGCCAGGGTCCCTCTCCCACGTTCCCAGCAGGCACACGCTGCAAAATCAAAGCTAGACGGCAGGCGAGGGACAGATGCAGCTGCTGGAGTCCAGAGGCCAAGCCCTCCGGCTGACTGCACCGTGGGTCACCCAGCAGAGCTCTACAGACTGGCCACACATCGCCAGTGTACTCAGCCTATCTCTGCCATCTCTTTAGTTTATGAAAATACAGCATGATTCTAGGATAAATAACTAGGGTCCTGGATGAGAAAGTAACAGTGAAATACAAAGCCAGCAGGACCTGAGTGGATTTAACACACTACACAGGACTTAGGGAGCAATGAGACAGAAGCAATCAGGTAATCCAGGGTAACTCTCCTGAGCAAGTAGAAAGAAGTCTGGAAGCACTGCAGGAGAAAGCGGGGAAGCTGTAAGCGAGCTCGTCTGGGGAGTAAGGAAGCGAGGCACCAGCTGGGATACAGCTTAGTGGCACAGCACCTACCTGGCACGCATGAGGCCAGGAGTTTGATTCTCGGCACCAAAAAAAAGGAAGTTGGGCACTGAATGTAAGATGAGGCAAGATCTAACTAATGATCCCAAAGGCACGGAATCAGAATTCAAGCCCAGTCCACTTTTAAAGCTGATGAACTGGAGATCAGCATGGCAGAACAATCCTACCTGCCCAAATCTCTTCACAGAGGAAGAGCAGAAAGAGAGGTAGGAAAAAGAGGGTAAAACCATGGGTGCCTTGGGGAGTAACCACAAACAGAAGACAGAGGGAAACAGCGAAGCTCCTGAGAAGGACAGAATGGTTAGGGAGAGCACAAGTAAAGAAGGAGATCACCTCAAATAAAAAAGAGTTCTGGGATAGAACATTCAACGACGTCACAGCACAGTTAGCACCAGTCCTCGTTATTCTTACTTCTTGTAACAGCCCTTCGTACTACGCATCAGCTACACTTACTAAGTGGAGAAACTCAGAGTAGCTAACTTCCCAGATTAATAACACAGCTTCTCAGTAATCCAAAGAAGCCAATGAACAGACCAGACCTGATTTCACAACGAACCTCCTCCATTCTTCTACTATCATAGCGCAGTAGACTGGTTAGGGAAAACCAAAAAGGACGGGAAAGAACTACTCAGCCCACTTATTACGAGAAACTCAGGTAGCGCTCGGTTATACAGAAGCAATGCAAGGTTTCAGAAGGCACTGCGTAAAAATGATGTAAGAAACAGAGCCACTCATTTCTAAAGTTTTGTAGTGATGGAACAAAGAGAAGCAGACCGCTAAGTCAAAATGCTTGTTTTTAAGATAGGGAAGATCTGTACCTAGGAAAATAAAGGAAAAATAAGCAAGAGGACAGGTATACGAACTGGTCTACAGGGGAAGCACTTCCTCTAAGAAGAAACAAAAGAGACCGAGAGCAGACACACAGCTCAGCGGACTAAGGCCTGTGAGTGCTTCTCTCTGAGGAGGCACTGAGGACAAGCTCGTATGGTCAGTGCTCAGGCTGAGTTAGGTGGTTTAGCCGAAGGCCGCAAGGATCTGCAGTGGCCAGAACGAGGGCAGTTTCTTTCAGTCTTGTGACCTAGGAAGGGCTGCTGTAACAGGCCCTGGTTTCTGAATGGAGACATGACTGACAGAATCAACAACGGCCGGCAAGGGTGAATACAAGAAGTAGAGCATCATGAGGAAGCTCAATTCACTCAGGTGGTGACACCAGCCGGTGTAGGAAGCCAAGCTTCAAAGGAAGGGATGCTTCTCAGAAGGTGCTGCTGAGGTGGCGGGGTGACAACCCAGGCAACACGCGAGAGACGGATGGGAAGTGGAGACGGACGCCGCTAAGCTACTGCACTGGAGAGAAAGCTGACGACTGAGGGAGAACTAATGCTCCCACCTTGCTCAGAGCTCTGCAAGGGTCTTCCACAGGGACAGAGCGGTAGTGAAGGAGAAAACCCAGAAAGAGCAAAAAGCTCCTCAGAAGAAAGACTTTTCACAAGACAAAATGGGGCGGTGAGGGTGCAGCTCAGTGGCACAGTGCCTGCTTGGCAAGCTTGAGGCAATGGGTTCGATTCCTGGTACAAAAAAAAAAATCAGAGAAAATGAAAATGGAAGAGAACAAGGTTCACCTGAGTATCACAAGGCCACGTGGAAGGCTGCAAGAGAGGAAGGATGAACAGGACAAAGGGAGAAGAAAATCAGAATAGCAGCTAACACTAGCAATGGCAGATGAGGATTCACACCCACAGCACACCAGGGCCGGGAGCACAGACAGGAGGAGGAGTCACACCCACAGCACACCAGGGTCAGGAGCACAGACGGGAGGAGGAGTCACACCCACACCACACCGGGCCGGGAGCACAGACGGGAGGAGGAGTCACACCCACACCA